GTGGGTATATTTTTTTCCCAAAATTCATATAAATGAAAAGCCTTTTGTGACCTGTGGGACCCTTCTCTCCCTCCTCTCCAGTCCTGCGTATGTAGATGGTAAACTGGCCTATCAGCAGTGCTGCCACGGTTTGGCCAGTCCCTCCACTGGTTTTCCAGGGTGATAATGGATTTGCATTGGCTTAGATTCCCTGTTTGGTCTCAGCCCTCAGAGGATGGACGGTTAGCATGCACCTGGAGTGGGCGTGGGCCTGGAGAGCAGACCGGAGTCCGCAAAGCTGGCTGTCTCACCTGGTGACTGAATGACTCTGTGGCAATGAACTTGGTCTCATTTGTTTAGTGTTCCCACCAGCTGAGTTAACTCCTCTTTTAAGATGAAATTACACGCACTAGCACAGCCTTCCATAATTTTATTTTTCTTTTCAAAAGGATTATCAACATTAAATGTCCAAAATGTTTCCTATCATATCATGGACTCAGAGAAGCTTTATAATAAAAAGATTGCCATGACAAAATTATCTCAAACATATTGAAGCATGTCAGGAATCTAAAACAGAGTAATTTTTACTCATGAGAAGAGAAATTCAGAGCAAACTGAAACAGTGAATGTTACGAGTTCAAAACAAAAACAATAAAACAAATTCACAGCAATTGCCATTTTTTATTAGCCTGGGGTACTTCAAAGGTCTAACGGCAGGTAGTTTGTAATGCCATCATGTGGCAAAAAGAGCACGAGAAGGTCTGGAACCTGAGATCTAGTCCTGGGTGTCATATGGCATTATGCTGTGTCACCCTTACCAGTTTCTTTACTTGCAGAATGGGAGACTGGGCTTGGCACAGCTAAGAGTCTTCCAGTTTTGAAATACTAAGACTTCTTATTCTTGTCAAAATTACATAAATCATATGTTAAATATTTTTTAAAATCTAGTTATTTTTAATCCATGACAAGATAGAGCTGCTAAAATATTTTAAGATAAAACACAAAATAAAACCAGCCTACATTTTAAAATCAAATGTTTCTAAGAATAAGAACAGAAAAATAACTGTATGAAACATTCTCAAAGAGCTGGGGGGTTTTGGTTTTTGTGTTTTTTTTTTTTTTTTTTTTTTGCTTTTTTCCATCTAGGAGGCAGTATCTCCTGGACAATATCAAATATATTTTCTTAAACTATTTCAAATTCTGTAGAAATATAATATCCTCCCTTCCCTCTCCTTTACTGTGAAAAATCCTTGCATAAGTGAAAAAGTGAAACCAGAATCTCCCCTAATAAATGTCCATCTCCACTTTATGATGCTGCTCTCTGAAGGCTGGATGATTGACTACATTCTGGAGCAGAAAGAAGCACGTACCAAACTGTTCTTAACCTTGTAAATCCTCATGGTGTCTCTTCCAGTGTAGACTTTAGAGAAAAATTTAAATGGAAAGCAGAAATGATATGAAAGATCACCAAACTACAGCTGGAAAGCCTCTAATGTCCTCAAGAATGTTAAGCCCCGTGTTGGAACATTAGCCCAAAAGGGACAGAGTAAAACAAACAATCACAGTTCACTTGAACCTTTTTTTTTCACATCCACTTTAATTAAAAAGACAGAAATGAAGAGGTAAGTTGTTTCTAATTAAATATTGAGGTGAGCATAATCCACATTTGCTGCCAATCAAGATATTTTAGAAGAATTTATCACCTGATTTGCTCACTTATTTCAATAAAGCTTTTCTCCACCTCTGGGGAAAAAAAGAAAAACTCTTGTGTATTATTGACAGTATGAATATATGTAGCTCCTTTTTTCTTTAAAAATTTTTATCAAATGTGCTTCAAAGTCTACTTATTTTGTAAGAAAAAACAATCTATCGGCTATAAGGTACAAATGTGCCTTATAGATCACCATAATCACACATGGTAGCAAAACTGATGATACATAACTTGGGGTGGGCAAAAGTAGGTACAGTTGTTCATATGATAAGACATGCAGGTTATGATTATTACAATGGCTTTATCACTCAAAAGAATGTCACAAGCAACTGTAAGCCTACTGTTGCCCACCCCTGTACTAACGCCACAAACCAAAGGGTCACGCTGAAAGGGGGGAGTTACAATTCAGGGTCAAGCAGCTATATTATCATAAAATCTTTCCACTTTAAAGAGACTTATTGGACATTTTAATAGCTTTTTAAATTGAGGAATTTATCAAGTGCTTACATTTTTAAGTATAGGTGTCCACCCCTGCTTTTCCAAAGTTTGAGTTAGGCCACTTCACTTTTAGGAAACATCTACCTATTCCTGCTAACCAAAAGAAATCCAAAAAGGATTTTTATTTTTAAAATAATGGTAATTGCTTCTTCACTTTACACCATTTCAGCCTAAGAAAGGTTTCATAGGAATACTCTACTCTCAAATAGCAGGGGACACATGTATTTTTTTTTTTCTTTCCTCCAATGAATCATATAAAGGATAAATGAAGGATGTTTTCTCTGGAACCTTCATTAAGCTGAGTAATATAGAGTATATTACCAACCAAAATAAATTTTTAAAAATGGATTACTTGTAGGTTTCAAGGGCAATAATGCATAATGGTACTAAAGAACAGTGATTAAGACAAGTATACTTCAAGTGGATACTTTTAATTTCATTTTTCCTATACCCCTGTACTTCATGGCTTTATATAGCACCTATCTTCCAAGGAACTAAAAATGCCTTAATAAGATCATAGACTTAAGAGTATTATGATGGCACAATAGCAATTGTTTTCAAACAGTAATATTTTTTTACCTTAAGAATATTCTATTGCCATGTATTGGAATAGTAGGGTGTGGCATGATAGGAAAGAGTGCTGTGGCAAATGGGGAAATTCATACAAAGAAAGAAGCAAGAGAATGAAAAAGAAGTTACAACTTCAAAAAAGCCACCCACCTAAAAGCTGACAACTCAGCTTCACCTAATCACAGATTCTGCTTCAGTGAGTTGAAGAGAAAAGCTAGACGAATAAATCTACTGCTTTCCTGGATCTAAGGTAAAGATCAGTTTTTATCTGTTAAATTATCACATGATGAAGAAGAAATAATTCTTCTGAATAGAGACTCTATAAATATTACAATTTTGTTCTCTACAAATCAGCAGACTTACCAGTGAAAGTCCATCAGCAGTTTATTCCTAAGGTGTGTGTGCTCTTGTCACATGTTTTCACTATTTTTGGCAAGCTAATATCTCCCTCATTCTTTAGAAAATAGTGACATTCTTTTAGAAAATAGCCAGCCAGCTTATGAATTCCTGATGAAAACTTAAAATGTTTAATGGAATATTAAGTACCATATATTTAACCTTTTCTCAGGCAATTATAGGATCTGAAATATAACCATAAATAATGAATACTATAATATTTCATAAAATGAGCTGTATAAAAGTTAATATGGTTAAAACTTCATGTTCTATTTAGTCTAATCTACAGAAGTAACACATTCATGTTTTTACCCCATTTTGAAAACTCCTGAATTTAATTCAAAAAAGGAACGGGCAAAGATTTCTAGAATCTAAAGTACTATTTAATCCTATTTCACTTATAAAAATATGGAAATGTAAATTTTATTTCAAATATAAAACACTACAGAATTTGGAAAGAAAGAAGGCCCTAAGACTTACTGATGCAAGTTCCTCACACTTTAAGTTAAGCAGTAATGGCTAAATTAAAGTCGCTTGGAGATTAATGGAATTTACTAGTAAGCTTAATTGGCAAATAATAAACTTTGAGAAAAAGAAAAGCTTGTCTATTACTGAGAATGTCAACTGATGAAACAGTTGCTTTATTTACACTTAAATGTGATTTGTTCTTCACAAAGGTGTATATACCAACATAGAGCTTTGTAAAGTCAAAATATCCCCAAATTCTCAAATATGGAATTGAACATAAGAACCTATGATTAGCTGAGACACTTGTCTATGACTGTAGACACTTATTACTGGTTATTTCCTCAAATTCATATCCTAGCATAACAAATTCTTAAATATGTTTAGCAGGGTCTCTGATAAACTATACAAATAGTTTTTAAAAATATTCTCAAGAAAGTCTAAGTTCCAATTTACATTATGATATTAACAAAATTTTTTTAATTTACATTTTAAAATCTTTTAGAATATTCTATATTTAAGACACTTCATTTTCATACATTTATTTGCACTGCATTTGTTTCATACTCTAAATACCCACTGAGCAATTTCATATGGAGTTTTATTAAGTAAATAATTTTGTTCTATTCTAAAAACTTAATTAATCTAGAAAAGCCCCAAACTGTGAACTGTTTATTATACACAACTCTTCCCTCTAACTTTATAATGCTCTCACAAAATCGCTTCATAAATGGCATTAATTTGGGGACCATAAGTCTATTCACATGAATATTCAAATTCTCTATTTAAATCTTGAAAGGATCCACCATCTGAAAATTATCTCCAAAATCTACTTATGTAAGATAATGCTCCAGTTTCATTCTCAGCTATAATACCTTAATTATCATTGGAACCAAAACCATTCAGCATCATTGCCCCTAAGCCTTTTTTTCAAATAGCAAACTTAAACACAATTGTTAATTCTCTTAAGAATCTTTATTGAATTTTTCAACAACTTAGCCTGTTGGATCTCAATGCAGTTTGTAAAACAACTCTGTATAGTTTCATATAAACTGCAACCAAAAAAGTAATTTACTTTGTCAAAGAAGTTATCTGAAGTTGCAAGTTATTTTTGTAATACGCAGAACAGTAAAATGTAAGCATGCTCTCAGATGCAGGCGCTCCTGTGTGCTACGGAGTTATTTTGAAGAGCTTGCTAAGGTCTGCAGGCAGTTTATGGAATGCAATCATTTTCTTCACAATTTAGGTACATGAGAATAAAACTGATATTTATGAACAGAGTATTTTTCTCAAAAAAGTTGAGGCAGCTTCTGTTGAATGCTATCTGTGTTGCAACACTTGTTACATCTTGAATTGTACTAAGAGAAACAGACAGCCAGGAGTTCATGCTGAAATTTGAAAAAATCCCTCCACACGTATTGAGTTCCAAGACAGGGAAGAGGGGAAATGACTATGCAATTGTTCATCATCTTACATCAGCAGACCACACCAAGACACTTTACTTGACAAGGGTGCAAATTCCCTTCACTGCTTTCACTCAAGGTCAGTGGTGCCTATAGTGGAGGGTGGAGGTGGAGCAAGCCTAGGACAGGATAAAGCTTAATTAAGTCTACATCTCATGCATAGTTGCCCTTGTTCTGTGAATGTTTCTCAGACATCCGAATTAGAACTGAGGTTTGTTAACCTGGGGTCCGCATTGATCTCATATCTGTAGTGATATCCTTCCATGTGATCCCTGCAGGCATCTCTGATGTTATGCATCCACTTTTTTATCCCCTTACGGTTCAAATACAAAACCAGTAGGAAAATGGCGCCTATCAGGGCTAAAACAATACCTAGAAAGACATAAGAAGTCTGCAGGGATTGAGGGAGGATAGGGTCACACTCCAGGTCGGAGCTGTTGAGTTCCAGAAGGACCCGATTCCTCATTTTTTCCGGAAATGCACAGGTGAGCCTGGCTTTGTTCTGCACTACCTCTGTCTCCTTGAGCCAGGTCACCATGTCCGTCATGTGGCAGTCACAGACCCAGGGATTGTTGTCCAGGAAGACCCTGACTTGGGGCAGGCCTTGAAACTCTGCCAGAGTGCTGTTGTGAAGGACCTTGAGGGCGTTGTCCTCCAGGTGGAGGCTTTCTAGGTGTGTCAGGTTTCGGAAGGACACATAACTCAGGCTCACCAGCGAGTTGTTGCGCAGGTCCAGGTGCCTGAGGCCCGGCAGCTGGACCAGTACATCCCGGGGCAAGTAGAGAAAGTGGTTGCTGGTGAGCTCCAGGCGGCGGAGCCCTCGTAGAGCCTGGCCAGATCGCAGGGCAGCAGCCACTATACCCTCGAAGCTCCGGTTCCCCAGCTTTTCAGCAGGGGGCAGGACGTGGTTCAGAATCAGTTCCACCAGGGGGCTGGGGGTCGAGACGCTGGCGTTGCTGCCGGAGAACGAGAAGGGGCTGAGTTTGGCCAGAGGGTTATGGCTGAGGTCGAGCTGGCGCAGGCTTGGCAGATTCTCGAAGGCTCCGGCGCGCACCTCCTGCAGGTGGCTGCCGCTGAGGTTGAGCGCGGCCAGCTCCGCCAGCGGCGGTCGGCGGGAGAAGGCTCCGGCCGGGAGCACTGCCAGCTGATTGCCAGTGAGGAAGAGGTTGCGCACATAAGGGGGCAGGTCCGCCGGCACCTCGGTCAGATCACTATTAACGCACTTGACGGTCCGCGCCGCTTCGGAGCATTCGCACGGCGGGGGGCACTGGCTCGGCAACGGGGGCTGGGCCGACACCGCGGAGGCCAAGAACGACGCAGAGGAGGTGGAGGAAGTCGCTAAGGAGGTGAGTGAGGATGAGGAGACCCAGCCCAGCAGGACCAGCGCCAGCCGCGCGAGCCGGAGACGCGCGTCTCCGGCGCCGGGGCCCCGGGAGCACCCCCTAGACATCACGGCACGGGTCTCCCAGGAGCTGGCCTGAGACGGCGCCCGCTCCGAAGGCTTGCGAGCTGGGCCCGGAGGGCGCGGGTCGGCTGGAAGCTTCTGGAGAAAACTTTCCTCCCGTGGGAGCGGAGGAGGGACGCCACAACCGGAACTTGGCTAACCCCTCCTTGCCAGCGGGCGTTCCCCAGCCGGGGCGATTCCCCCGCCCCTTCCCTCCAGAAAGTACGCACGGCGAGTCAGGACACTCAAACTCGCGCCCTTCTTTCTGCAGCTGCCCCCGGGTCGCACCTCTGGCCTCTTTTGTTGGCACCTCACGCTGGATCCGCTGCAGGACCTGGGGACAAACAGGAGATAAGCGTGAGGAGTTGCGGCGACCGCAGGTCTCCAAGTGCAGGAACTGGCCTATCCAAGCCAAGTTGTCCCCACTCGGTCCCCAAGATATCCCTCCAAAAACCCGTGAGGGCCTCACCTCCCCCAGCGCCACGCACATCCTTACCCGGGAGAGGGGCGCGCATCCCGCGCAAAGTCTTGCTTCTGCTCTGGACCTATATATTAGGATATATATATATATATATATATATATATATATATATATATATATATATATATATAATCTCCTTCCAGCCTCCCGCCCTCCTTTCTTCGAAATCAAACTCGTCCACTGCGCGTAACTTCTTGCTAAATCTCCTGTGCCCTCCCGAACAAACTTCTCACTCTCCCACTGCCTTCGTGGACGACCTGCCTTTCGGGCCTTCGCCCCCACCCCGACCTCTCCTCTGGTCCAGGTTAGGATAAGAGGAAAGTTTCAGGTTGCAAGCGGCTTTTCATCTCTTTTAGTCCCTTCTCGGATAAGCAGGAAGTGAAGGGCTGTACCGTTCCCCTGGCGCCCTCCCCCCCCCACGCCCCCCCTCCCAGCTCGCGTCTCTGCCAGCCCCTCGGATCCCTGAGGGGGTTCAAGTCATCTCCAAAGGGGAGGAGAGAGACCGCGAACAAAGCATTAGTGGAACCCGGGACCTACGCTACTCTTCCGCCTGAAGATGGGGAGGAGCCCTGGCGTTGCCTACCGGTTCTCGTCTGCGCTGCAGGCTCCCAACCGCTCACCTCTGCGCCCGCCAGCTCCGGAGACGACTCCTAGTCCCACCAGAGTCGCGCCGACTTTCCGGCTCCGAGCTGCCAGTGCCTACTCTCCTCGCACCCCCAGCCCCTGGCCCAACCTCCGAGGCTGGGAAAAACCAACCCGGGGGGCGGGGGAGGGCCACGCCGGCCGGTGGGACTTAATGCCGCGCGCCCAACCTTGGAAGCCCTCGGCAGGGAGATTTAAAAAAAGAGACTGGGGGATCTGGGCTGCGCGCCTCCTCCTGGTGGAACTTAACGAGGAATGTGAAGGAAAAGGTGAGGGAATCCCTCTCTCCCCCCTCCTCAGCATCCTTTGTTGGTTCCTCATTTTGCATACTGTATTTACCTTGGACAGGAACAAAACCGCTAGTGAATCTCGTGGAATTCACCCCGATTCGGGCACCTAGGGCAGTAAGGAGATAGCTTCAGGCGTGACAGAACAGTGGGAAGCAGCAGCGTAAGGAAATGAGCTGAAAATGTACAGCGGCCCCAACAACATGCCCAGCAAGTTGCAAGGAAGCTTCAGAAAATCTCCCCATCCAAGTGATACCTTAGATGCCAACTTCAGATTTAGGTGTAATGAATGCGTCCCCTACCTGCCCCGCCCCCACACGTCTTGAACAGTTACTGGACTTGTAAAGAGAGCCAACTTTAAGATGGGGGTGGGGAGCTAGTGGAGAGGAGATTCATTCTTGATTCATTAGCTTTTTCTCCTCCCCAAATTAAAAGCAGAAGGAAGCAAAAGGCAGCCAAAGCGTCCTAGAAACAAAAGGCAAATAGCAACGACGTGAGTCACCCGGAAAGCGGCCCCGCCCCCTCTCACCAGATGTAGCTGTATAGTATCAGTGCCAGTCACTTCAGCTAGGAGAGTTCGCTGGGTAGGGGGTGGGAGGGAGGCCTCCCAGGGAGATCAGAAGCTTGGCCCTACAGTCGTATCGCCCTGTGGGGGGTGCTCGGCAGGCTGGGAGGTGGAGAGGATGGCGTTGGGGAAAGGGACTGATTGAGTGACTACTTACTGGGAGAATCTGTTATGTTGGAGAGGTTTGGGGTCTTGAAAGATCTAGAATGATCCTTGCTCTCTCCATAACTGTATCCCCTTTGTCCCAATCAAATAATTTTTCCTTGGAAGGATGAGAAGGTGCTTTATTCCAGCCTCCTTCATTTTGGAAAGAAAAATGGCAATTAGAGAAAACAGTTGATAATAAAATGCTGAAATCAAGGATGCGGATTGTGCCTATGAGTAGTGCGTTTAGTGTGAAGAAAGACCAAAGTCTCAAGTCCATTCCTCATTACCTCTACGCAAAAGATAGTCTGCAAAGCCAGGAGCAAAAATGGCCCAGACGAGAGACCTAGAGGGGTTGGAGACTGCAGATATTTGAGCAAAAAGCCACTTTTGATAATTTGCATCTTCATCACGTTTATCTAAATCCCCTTTTCTTATTTTTAAAAGTGTTTTGCAACCCGAATATGAAAACTTTGAAAAAAGAATCTCAAAAGCTGTAGTGAGGTTCTGTATGATAGTTGTGTTGGTGGTTACATAAAGCTACACATGGGTTAAAATTCATAGATCTATGTATACCAAAAAAAAAATCAAGTTTACTCTATGATAAATTTTAAAACAAAATTAATTAGTTATGGGGGAAAATCTGTAGTAATGCTCTGACATGCCACTAATTCTGGTTCTGATCTAAAGGGCAATTGCTCTGTTAGGAATGAGACACATTTTACAATTTAGAAAAATTATGTATATTCTCATCTGATCTTCAAATTAACTTGACAATATAGATATAATTAGTACTATTATCTTGTTATTACTGGTGGTGTTAACCTGTTCTACATACGAAAAATCTGGGGTTCTGAGCATTAACAGTCTTTTACTGCCAAACCCTGTGCTGATCACTTTCTAGAAATTATTTCATTTACTCTGCACATCAGTACTCAGGTAAGCACTATGACTCCAGTTTTACAGACAAGGAAATTGAGGCAAAAATAATATACTGTAGTCCCTCCCCTTTATCTGCAGGGGATATATTCAAGACCCCCAGTAAATGCTCGAAATCATGGATAGCACCTAACTCTCGATATACTGTTTTTTCCTATATATACTTATGATAAAGTTTAATTTATAAATTAAGCACAATAAGAGATTAACAATAATAATAAAATAGAACAATTATAAACAATGTACTATAATAAAAGTTATATGAGTGCAGACTCTCTCTCAAAATACTGCATTATACTCACCTTTTCATGTAAAGGAAGCATTTTACGGCTTCTCTTGTGCATATCTGAATTGCTAGCATTACTACTCTTGCACTTTAGGGACATTATAAAATAAAATGAGTTACCTGAGCACAAGTATTTCAATATCTTGACAGTTGATCTGATAACCAAGGTGACTACTAAGTGACTAAGGGGCAGGGAGCCTACCGACCATGGCTACACTGGACAAAGGGATGGTACTTGGCTAGGGCAGGAGGTTTTATCATTCAGAACAGGCACACAATTTAAAATTTATGAATTATTTGTTTCTGGAATTTTCTATTTAGTATTTTCCAACCTGAGTTGACACATGTAACTGAAACCTTGGAAAGCAAAACTGCAGATAAGAGGGATCTACTGTAACTTTTTCCAATGAATGGTGGAGGTGGGGACCAGGCCCAGATTTGTCTGCCTTTCATAAACATCCCACATTGCACATCTAGGCAAGGCTAAGGAGTTTGTACAAAGCCCAGTTCTGCTACACCAGAGCTTCATCTCTGGCTTGTTTTCCCGTTTTCTTCCTCTACCTCTCTGCATCTGGCAGTTGGTTATGGCTGCTGAGTCAGGGCCCAGAAACCTGGGTCATTTCTAACTTCATCACTTACTGTGTGACTTCTGTATACCTCTGTTTCTTAATCTGTAAAATAGGAACAATAATAAAACTTTAGGGCATTTCCATGAGAATTAAGATAATGTGTGTAACACACTTAGCAAAATTGTTATTATTGTGCTCTCCTTAATTATTTTCCTCACCATTTATTGTGGACTCACTATATCTCTGTAACTAACTATGTAGTAATAGTAGTATATACAGTGATCACCAGTTGATGGTCTCCATAAGTACAGTTGTGAGATATAGCAAATGAAAATTCAGGATACCCAGTTAAACTTGAATTTCAGTTAAACAATGAATAATTTTTTAGTATATGTCCCGTGCAATATTTGGAATATGCTTATACTAAAATAATTCATTGTTTACTTGAAAGCTAATTTAACTGGGCATCCTTTATTTGATATGGCAGATATGGCAACAAAGGATTTCATCACCTGGTGGAAGAAGCACAGAAACAAAAACCTTCAATGCAGAATATTGAGTGTAGTTTGATGGCTGTGTATCTTTCCAATCTCCTCTCTCTTTGTATATATTTTACTTCTGTTTCTGCTATTTTTTATATAAATTATAGTATTAGCCATATTTTTTTTTACTTTAAAATAACCCTATACTGTTTTACATCCATACATAGAGGTATGCTTTCTTCTTTTTTAAAGACTGCAAAATATTCCATACTGTGGATTGTTATACTGCATATTTTTAACTGCCTTACTGAAAGACATTTTGATCAGTAAGTACTTCTTAAAGAAGTTTCCTTCAAGTAAGAAAGCTTTCTAGGATTAGTTCTATTTTGATTGTCATAAGCACTTAATTATCCTAAATTATCATACTTGCCTTACTCTTGACAGCTTGAAATTCTCTTTGTTCATGATGCTATTTACATGCTCTAAAGCAGGACAGGATTTCAGAGCACAGTTTTCCTCATTTATTCTTCATTCCAAAGTGAAATGAAAGAAATGAGTGTCTGGATGGAGAGAAACCAATTTAGTATATTCCAATTGGTCACTTGGTAGCCTCCAGGAAAATGTATCTGCACCATCATTTATTTAGCATATTTTTTCCTAAAGGAATCATTTTTTCTTCTAATGACCCAAAGGAAAGTCATTAGTAAATTATTGAAATTTGCTGCTAAATCCTGGGAAGCGAGGAATAATGTAGTATATTTTAAAAAGATGAGTGACTATGGCTACCATCATGCTAACTAGCAGAGA